AATGCAAACACATTGTTTGCAAGGATTCTGCCAGCTTGCAAAGAACTTCTTTGCAATACGAACTAATTCTTTGCAATACAATGCCCACAAATTCTTTGCAACGTTGCAAAGAATATAGTTTGCAAGCATTTTACAGTGCATTCTCTCGCCCCCTTTCCTCCCCCTCTCTCCATCTTTCGCCCTCCCCTCTCCCCCCTCCCTCTCGCACCCTCTCTCGATATGGAACCAACTAACTTCACAACACTTTTAGTATAGCCACTGGTCACGCTGCCCATGTTAATCCCTCTCCCCCCTCCCTCTCCCATCCACAGTTAATATGGAACCAACTAACTTCACAACACTTTTAGTATAGCCACTGGTCACGCTGCCCATGTTAATCCATCACAATACTCTTTACAGGGTGGTCCACAGACCCCTTCCTTTACTTTGCTTATACTGTACCGCATGCAGGCGTGCCGGCGGGCTTGCCTACCGTAGCCTGCCTTATGGCCCCGTGCGAGGATGCAACCCGGCCGCACGCCTGCATCCGGTACAGTATAAGCAAAATAAAGGCAGGGGTCTGCGGACCACCCTGTATATCATATATTCTTATCTAGCATTAACACGCGGCACGTTAGGGTATTCGCATTCGCTCTGAGATATAACCTGGGGAGCGCGACCACATGTTGGCCATGCCGCACCAAAGGTGTAAATTTCTCAATGACGCAACTGCATGCCAACATGTTCGCAGTTTATCGCAATTTTTCTCGTAAAATTACAAAACAATGGAGTTGGCAAATTAATAGTACTATAAAAACACGATTTTTGTCCGAACACGTGCGCGGACGCGCTGATGACTCTATTCTCTTGCAGGTGGTGCGGCTGGAGTTGTCCTGCAACAGAGACCCTGCGTGGAGCCTCCAGCTGCTGCAGTGCGCCGCGCCCACGGTCGAGCAGCTGCGCCTGGACTGCCCCCGCGACGCCCACGTGCGCGCGGTGCACACCATGCCGCGGCTGAGGACGCTCGACGTGCACGACGACGGCACCCTGGACAGACAGCCCCCCGAGCTGCCCGCGCTCCCAGCCGGGCACAGCGGCCTGCAGTGGCTCAGGGTGTTCGGCCTCTCCAGCGGCACGGTCCGGTCGCTGCTCCGCGCCCACGGCGGCACGCTGGAGGTGCTGCAGCTGAGGGTGGGCACGGCGGGGCCGAAGAAGTGGCCCGAGAGCTGCAGCGACCTGCACGCCCTGCTGGAGCAGTGCGGGCTGCGAGCGTTGCGGAGGCTCGTGCTGTGGAGGGTGTGCTGCCACCATGAGAAGACCGCCTGCACCGAGCAGCGACGCGTCGTGCTGCGGGTCCTCCCCCGCGCTGAGGTGCTGTGCAGCAAGTGCGACGGTGTGGTGAAGGAAGAGTTCTAAAGGCGCGTCGTCTGGGGGTCAACTCGCCCAGTCTGTTCACTAAACCAGTTTGAATAAAGTTCCTTTTCGCTTTTTTGAAAGACGCCGAAATGACCATTCAACCTATCCGTATTCCGTCCCGTCCTCCCCGGCAAAATTTTCTTTCAATAGATTTCGCAGCTAGAGCCGGAGTGGATTAAGGGGGAAGGCGGGATCCCTTACCTGTTCTCTCAACGCTCTCTCATCAGTGTGATGCGCCTATACCGGCCTATACGGTACGTCGAGGAGGGTGTGTGGTGTGTCGCCCCCCCCCTCCCTCCCCCTCTCCCCCAGTGCCGCGCCGCGCCGCGCTACACCTCCCAAGAGAGCGCCGCGTAGGGCGGGCCGCCGACTCCACACGGCTGCTTGGCGGGTCAGCCTACCCAGCGCGCTGCAGGCGCCATCCGTAGCGTCCGTTCTGCAGGCGGGCCGCATTTTGATGTAAGATATTTCGACGTGAAGCGGGGTAGTACCAATTCTGCCGATGCGACATTCAAAAAGTACAAATTCTTCCGGTCAGTATGAGCCCTGTCCCAGCGTCCCGGGACGATTGGGCAAGCGTGAAGCTAGCACCACCCAATTTCCTTTCCATTTCGATGCCGTTCTTTGGTAGTACAAATTCTAAAACCGCGACGGTGAAGAAGTAGAAATTAAGTACTAAAACATGAGAGGTTGTACAATTTTCTATCTGCATCGGGCGCGGTGCCACACTGTAAAAAATCAGTATTGGACTGGCCACTAGTCGTGACCACCGTACCACCGATTTTTACATGGGCTAGCATAGAGAAGGGGGTACGGAACGCCACCAGTACTCAAAACGGAAACTTGCGGCTCGCGGATCAGAAAGTAGCGGGACTTTTTCCGTGCCTTGGCTTCGTATCCTCTTTTTTTTTACATGGGCTCTTATGGGAAGAGGGTTTGGAACCCAAGGGCAGTTGTACAAGTGCTCGCATCAAAGGCTATTG